CCCCAAAACCCCAAAACCCCAAAACCCCAAGTTTTATTATATAAGTGAAATTTAATAATTTGTTAGGGATATGGAAGTGATGGAAGAGATTATGGGAAAGAGAGGGGAGGATGAGACGAAGGAGTTGGTGTTTGAGTTGTTTGTACTGTCGTTTACGATTATTACGTTGGTGATGGTGTTGTATGGGCTTGTTGTGGTGAAGAGAGTGTTTCTCTAAGTTGTAGGAGGACTAAAGATGTGTTTAAGATTGCACAGTATGTTATGATGATTGGGTATATGATTACAGGGCAGGTTTATGCCACTTTGGAGTTCTTCCGTTTCTTTGGATTTTTCTTTAAAACTGCAGCTTCTTTTATTAATTTCTTTATTGTAACTTTTGAATGGATGAACTCATTGTGCTGGCTGGTATTAATTCTTCATATACTTCGGTTGCGAAGAAAGCGAGAAGATGGAAACTACTCCCTAAAATTGATGAAACTTACTGAAATCTTGCTTTTGATTAATTTTGTCATTGCAGCTTTAATCTTTTTAGGATGTATTATTGCAGTAAATATCCTGAGTATTGTGAAAGGCTGTTACAGGTGATTTCCGGAAACTAAAGAAAGTTGCTCTTTTTGTAGCGATATAATCCTTAAAACTTGGATAAATGATCTAGATCGTTACTTCACAGTTTGAATGTTTCTTCAACCTATCATAAGATTGATTTTAGGTTCTCTTTTGCTATTTCTTATGAGAAAATACATTAATTATTACTACAAGAAGAGGAAATGGAAAATATTTTTCGCAATGATTGGAACTGTTGTATTTTTTCAGGCTAGATTTATAACCTATTATATTCTCTATACAGTTCATGAGAAGTTGTCTTTTGAAGAGATTTTCATCTGCAGAGATCAAGATTGTTACATAAAAGAAAGGCACTGGTATATCTTCTTAAGCTTCTTCATTTGAATTCTATTTGTAATCTTCGAAGTGTCTCTTTTCAAAATAAACGTAGAAAACGTCACTTTCAAAGAAGACATCAGAGGTACCCTCTCCACTAACCCCCATAGAACTAATCAAAAGTTGAGGTATAAAACAACACTACTCAAACTCCTCAATCTTCATCCTCTCCTCTAAAACTACCTCCTCCAAAGCCTTCTTCTCAGACTCTAAATCCAGACTACTCGAACGGACCTCTTCCCTGCTATCCACAACTGAGAAGCTATGGATAGCTCAGAGTGAAGACCAGCTAGACTTGTTGTGCAGAGACTCTAATGAGAGTGACCATGAGTCTTGGAAAAGACAGTTTTTGAATAGTAGAGTTTAAGTGGTCAGTAGGGGTTGGAGCCAGGGGTTTTGGGGTTTTGGGGTTTTGGGG